GCCAACTTAAGGCAAATATTCAAATTCTTCATTTTCCTATACAGTACTCAAAGGAGTTTACAAAATCAATACTAAACAATAAAAATAGAACAACAATTAGATATCAGTTAAAAGAATCTGAAGCAGAAAAACCATCTTTTGAAAACTAAATCCTTTCTTTCTTTCTTTCTTAAAAAAAACAATAAAAAAACAAAACAAAAACCCTGCACCTTGCCATTTTCACTTCTTACTTAAAAGTTACTGTGCAACTTTGTGATAACAGCATGTAGTCATGTGAGGCCACAGATGTGGTGGAAAGCACTGGAACCAAACAACCTTCAAAGGATTAGAGTTAAAGCTTTACTTTTTCAGGTTGAACTGTGACCAGATGAGCTGTGCGGTAAATCCAAAAGCACTTCAGTAATGAGTTTGAGGACTGTGCGTGCCATTGTAGATGGCTACCGATTGGGGCTACCGTTGTGAACTACCCATATTTCATTACATAATAGTTACCATTGCATAATAGTCACACCCCACCTTTTTGAGGTTCCAGATTTGGGATTTTTGCGATCCATCACATAATAGTCGTACCTTCACCCACATGCCTTCCCCTTAGAGCAAGCCCTGTAGCTCCAAGGGTCAGGCGCTCAGGTGGGTGAAGATATGAGAGCTAGAAGGCTTCCCTTGACTGCAACCAGCTGAGGGTGGTATTGTGGTGCTGGTTGGCAGGCACACACATGGGTGAGGCACCACTCATCCACACATCTGTTGGCACGAGCTATGGGGCCTCCATTCTCTACTGGTAGCCAAAGAAAGCCCCATAAGTTTGCTGGTCACCTCTGTGTGCCAGTGGGGACCAGCTGTTGGTACCTGAAAGAGACCCTTTAGGCCTTATGTAGTGAAATTGCTACTCTATGTTAATGTTTTGGTGTATAGCTCTATGTTTACATATGGCAGATAGGGAAGAATAGGCACAGACAGGGTAGCAACAGTAGATATAGGATTCATTTGCATATGTGAAGCCGATTGGTCATATGCAGTGTAGGCCCAGGATTCGAAAAGGCTGCTAGGCCAAAATGACAGTTGGGGAGAGCAGAGCTGAACATTCCAAAGGGGCGGAGCCAAGGTTATGAAAGAGGTAGTTAGAGTGAGGGAGTTTGAAAATGACAGGAATCTGTGTGTGAAGCGGAGAGTTGGTTTTTGAGGGCTTGATAGAAATAAGCAGTTATGAAGATGTGTTAAAGACTTCTGATATAGAGAAGCAGTTAGTTAAATAGAGCTCGAGTTTTAAGGAACATAAAGAAGGCTGGTGTTGCCTTAGTTCAGAATATAATTCAGCCAAGAATGTGAAAAGGAAGTAATATGTTTGTGAATGTGAAACATTGATAGTTTATTCAGAAAAGTTAGCCAAATAAATGATACCGACTGTAAGCCTCAAGATTGCAACAAAACACAAATGTAACCACAAGCTTTGGAGCCAGAAGTTATAAATAAACTGTGTTACTTTGTTATACACAAGAGCGTTTCATTGCCTGCGATATAAAGTACAAAGGTTTAACAGCACACAGAAAGTCCAAGCCAATATAAAAGAAGAAACTGAATCAGTATAAGGCAGCAAAGAAGTTTTTAAAGAGGAAATGATCTCTCTCCCTTGCCTCACCTTACTTGCTCACCTGTGCCTGTATTTCCCCACATAATAGTTGCTCCCCTCTTTTTTAAAGGGAAAAAATAAAGTACTTCATTTCTCCATGTCCATAATGCTAGTCATTTTACTTCCAGCAGTCAAATTGAAAAGAGCTCTGGCTGCAAAGCCATAAATTTCCTCTTTCTCCCTGTTTGCTTTTCTTTTAATTTTCTGAAACTGCACAGTTTCAAAGCTCATTCTAACACTTATTGGAATTTCCCCTCTTGATTAGGCATTCCCGTACTGTTTGTTAACTTTCCATTGTTCTTTTGCAAATGTTGGAGCTGGACTGCTACAAACTACAGTATGAACTGTTTTGGCAATAAGAAATATCCCTCTCTTAGGGGAAAGCGAACCAACGAAATTTAAAAATATAATATTAAAAAAACAAGCTAAAGAAGAAAATGAGCTTCAAAAAGAGATAACAAGTATGATATACAAAATATTAATAGAGATTAAAGGGGGGAGAAAGGGGATACAAACAAGGGAACTATGGAGGAATAATTGGGAATAAAAATATGGGAAGGAAATTGGAAAAAATTATGGAGAGCAAGACACTTCAAGACTCTTATCAATTACAATAAAAGAAAACTACTACAAGATTGTATGGAAATGGTACCTGACCCTGATAATGATACACCATATGGATAAGAGCTCTTCAGAAAAATGTTGGAGGGGTTGCCAAGAAAGGGGAACATACATTCACATGTGGTGGCAATGCAAATATGTACAGAGGTTCTGGGGAAAGATTATAGTAGAGATAGAAAGTATTATGAAGAAAAAAATTAATATAAATCCAGCAACTATACTCTTATCTATTTATAATATAGATTAATGGAATGAAAATGAAAAGAATTTAATAACAATGTTGTTAACGGCTGCAACGGCTTTGGAACTCTTTACTTGGGGAGATCAGGAAAGCCCCTTCACTGGAAACATTTAAAAAGAACCTCAAAACCTGGCTTTTCTGCTGCGTCTTTGGTGAGTAGGTGCTCAGTATGATTTTTTATACCCCTTCAACATTTTTGGCTAATGGAGTTCGTGCCCTCCAAATAGGATGTTCTGCCCCATAACTCTGTGTGTTTTATGAATTCCATTTAAACTTCCTGCTCCTATTTTATCTCATCATAGTCTGTTAATTGTTTTTATTCGGAATATGTGGCTCGCCCATTATCATTTCTATCGTGATTGTGTCTATTGGTATTTTATTTTATTTTAATGTTATTATCATTTATTATTTTAATGTCATTTTGATAATGTTGTTGTCTGATGTATATGCTTTAATTTTATTGCTACAAAGTGGAATCCACGACATGCGAGTGTGGAGAGGAGCAAACCACTGACCACCTGCTGCAATGCAACCTGAGCCCTGCCACATGCACAATGAAGGACCTCCTTGCAGCAACACCAGAAGCACTCCAAGTGGCCAGATACTGGTCAAAGGACATTTAATCAACTACCAAACTCACAAATTTTGTATTTTTCTGTGTTTTTTTTGCTTTGTTCTGTTAGAAAAGTAATATAATCGACTGGTTGCACTGACACGATAAAAAAATTGCTGTATTATGTTGTCCGGGCTTGGCCCCATGTAAGCCACACCGAGTCTCCATTGGGGAGATGGTAGCAGGGTAGAAATAAAGATTATTATTATTATTATTATTATTATTATTATTATTAGGCTACTAATAGCAAAAAATTGGAAGGGAGAGGTGGAAATTAAGATAGAAGAATGGTATAAGGAAATTTGGAAACTAGCAATAAATGATAAATTAACATATAATCTAAAGGTTTAAAAAGGCCTAAGAAAGAATTATGATTTTGAAAGTATATGGAAAAAAATTGTTGAAGAAACATTAAAGAAAGAAGATGGGAACCAAACCCTACCAGAAGAAACGAGGTTCTGGTGTGACCATAAAGAAAAAAAGGACTCCGGAGATGGGGAGCACAATGGGTAGCACAATGGGGGAAAGGAGAAGAAATAAATTTATGGATTGTAGAGATGTTTTGTTGTAACAAAATGAATGGAAATGTAATAAAAACTATTGAAAAAAAGAAATATCCCTCTCTCTTGCAAAATGTACAAATCAGAGAAAGGCTTCTATTTGCAAAATGCATCTTTCCCTTTTTTAAAAATTAATATTTAAAGTGTTTAAAGCTACAGTGCTTGTGAACATCTGTTTTGCAATACAGGCAAGTACTGCAAAGCAGCAGTTTGTGCAGGTTAAGGCAATGAAAAGTAGCTCTCTCCCTAGTAGAATACACAAAACACGAAAAAGATAGCAAATTTAGAAAGCGTCCTTCCTTTTTTAAACATGTAAAGTGTTTGAAGGGGCAGTGTTTGTGAAAATGCAGTAATATTTAATTGCAAAGCCTCAGTCTCATGATATTTTGAACTTATGAGATTGTAGAATTCTACCAGAAATAAAGTGTACACAGGGGCGGCTCAACCATTACGCAAAGTAAGCAATTGCAGTATAGTTGATTTTGCCCAGGGGTGCTCTTGAGGCGCTCTTGGGGGAAAATAGACATTGACATATGTGAGTTGTAGTTACTGGGAAGTATAGTTCACCTACAATCGAAGAGCATTCTGAACTCCACCAATGATGGAATTGAACCAAATATGGCACACAGAACTTCCATGACGAACAGAAAACATATATCAGTGATTGGTTGGGGGTGTGTGTGTGCCAAAATACTGTTTGCTTACCATTGAAAATTACCTAGGGCTGCCTCTGAGTGTACATGGGCAAACGGGCAGTGCATGGATTTGGAGGGGACGAGCTCCAGCAGTTGTGATAAGCTAAACACAATTACGGTACTAGTTCCTTCAAATGCTTGGGGAACTGATTGGTGTCATAAGAACAATAGCTATCCTGGGTTGCTTGAACTGAAATTTGAAATGATTTTGCAATGCTGTGTCAGTTTTTAGAACTCTGTGTGATAATTCCCTCAGTGTTAGGGAACAAGCTTCTGTACCCTACCACATCAATTAATTTTGACCTGAGTCGAAGCTAAAAGATTGAGAAAGGGCGGTAGTCACTAAGGACAAACATTAATTCACAAGACTAAATTTTAATTACATGGTCCACAAAATAAGGACACATCTTGTAAAAACTATTTAAAAAACAGTAACAGTGCAATAACAGGCAATGTGATCCTGCTTCGGATAAGCAATTTTAAGTTCCAAGTTACATTGGCAGATTCTTAATTTTGAGAATGTTGACTAGAACATGTCCATTGTTTAATCATGCTGTTATTTTTATTTATCATATTTATATCCCACCTTTCTCAACCTTGGAGGAGACTCAAGGGGAATATTATTCCAGGCTCTACTTACAGTTATGGCATGTGGCTCCAGTATATCCAGTGCCATCACAGGTGCAACTAAAGTTATCCCATGTTTGAGTGCATTTTCCTCCATGTTCACAGTGATTGGGAATACACCTGTTGAAACAAGAGAGAGTGACAAGTGAACAAGGATGAATATTTGACTGCATTTTGGAACTACCCAAGCAGCAGGTTCTGCCTGTGCCAATTTACCAAACCATGACAATTAATCTTTGTTAGCTTTAGGCAGATTAATGTAATTCATGATGGAACAGATGGCAGGTGTACAAGGAGATGATAAATCACACAATGAATGTTCCATTCATTAGCAGCCAGCAGTGCATTGTGAGAAAGAGGCGAAATGATAACGGGCTGTAAGATTATTATTTTATTATTTTATTATTTATTTATTTATTTATTTCAAAGTTTTATATACCAACCTTCTCACCTCTTTTGAGGGACTCAGACCGGTTTCCAACCATAAAAACACATACAATCGGTAAAACATCATAGTTCATATTACAATAACACATTAAAACAACAAATATATTCAAAACTACAGTGGTCAGTCGTCATACTAAAATCAATTATACATCATCTTCCATCCGTATCTTAGGGTGTTGTCTCACTCATCGAAAGCCTGTCTCCATAACCATGTCTTCACCTGTTTCCTAAATGTCAGGATAGAAGGGGCGGTTCTGATCTCCGGTGGGAGAGAGTTCCAGAGTCGCAGGGCCACCACCGAGAAGGCCCTGTCCCTCGTCCCCACCAGACGCGCTTGTGAATCCGCGGAGAGGCGGATGAGCTCCCTCTATCAGCTCCAGCTCCTCATGCGGGGACATGAGAGAAGCCTCCCACAAGGATGATAAAAACATCAAAAATCATTCGGGCGTCCCCTGGGCAATGTCCTTGCAGACGGCCAATTCTCTCACAACAGGAGTGACTCCTGACACGACAAAAAAAAAATAAAATAAAATAACCTCCAGAGAAGGAGATTCAACCAAACTCCAAGGTAGTGGGTTCCACTGCCAAACAGATTTTACTATCAGGAAGTTCTTCTTAATGTTTAGGTGGAATCTTTTTTTTTTTTTTTTGCAATCTGAACTAGGCATGGTTAGTTACCACCGGAATCTTCATAATTCGGAATAATTTTTGAAGCAATTTTGAAGTTTTTAAGAAAACCAGAAGTCCCTTTGCCCTTCCGAAGCTTTTTCTGTCATTTTTATTTCGACTCATGAAGTGAGTCGGAAATGATTCAGCTTTCCCCCGCTTCTTTTCCCTGGCCTCGGTTCATGCCAGAGAAGCCAGTTTTAAACCAGAGAAGGAAGGAATTTCCTCCGCTTGCTTTCCCCTGCTTCTGAATAAAACAACTACTTTCTAAGTAAAGACCACCCAATGAAACAGGAAATTACACTTTCAAACGATTAATAAAAGGATTCGGAAGTTTTGGAAGTTTTGAAAAGTTTTGAAGATTTTTTTCTGTGAAAACTGACTTTAAAATTGAAGCACCAGTGTCCCCTATATCCGAAACAAGTTTTGAACCATTTTTTTGTAAAATAGTCTTTATTGAGTTTTGAAATTCCATTAAAATATAGATATATTTTAAATTAGAAAAAGAGAGAAAGGAAAAAAAGGAAGAGAAAAAGGGAAGAAAGAGACCCCCCCCCCCAAAAAAAAACCAGAATCAGGAAATAGATTATAAAAAAAGAAAAAAAATTGTTAGACTTCCTGGTGTCTTTCGGAGATCTGTAGTTCTTTTCTCTTCTTCCTCCCTTCCCTTCGTCCTGTATTCCTCCTCTCCTCTCATATTCTTGCTCTTCCTTTTTCCTTTTCCTCTTTTCTTCCTTAATTAGAACAAAATCTTTTTGCCTTTTTGTCTAAAGTATTCTGTAATCTTTCCCCAGTTTGTCTCATGCAAATTTATTCCTTTACTTCTTGATGTGAGAAAGGTAAGTCTGCCCAAATTCTTTATCTCTAATATTTTTGCTAGTCTCTCATTTTCATCTGGTAATTCTATTTGTTTCCATTTTCTGGCGTAACATATCCTTGCTGCTGTTGCCATTAAAAACAGAAGTTTGTCAGTATTTTTTTCTAGTTCCAGATCATGAATTCTTAATAGGAATAGTTCTGCCTTCCACGGAATCTTTATCTGTAGAATTTCTTGTAATTCTTTCTGTACTCCTTTCCAGTATTCTTTAGCTTTGTTACAGGTCCACCATAGATGAAAATAAGATCCTTCCTTTTCTTTACACTTCCAGCAGCTTGTGCTGGTATTGTTATAGCTTTTCCCTAACATTTTTGGTGTCATGTACCAACGGTGCAACTAACGGTTTTTGGTGTCATGTACCAATGGTTTTGAACCATTTTTTTGGATCAACCAAGCTTAATCTGAACCCACTGCACCATGTCCTAGTCTCCAGAGCAGCAGAAAACAAGCATGCCTCTTCCTCAACAACATTCTTTCCAGTATTTCACGATTATATCCCCTCTCAGCCTTCTTTTCTCCAGTCTAAATTCCCAGCACCCTAAATCGTTTCTCATAGGGGTTGGTTTCCAAACCTTGGATCATTTTAGTTATCCTTCTCTGGACATGCTCTAGCTCATCAATATCCTTCTTGAAATGAGGCAGAATAGAGTGCAACTAAGACTTCCCTTCTTCTCAACACTATTTTTCTTTTTTTCTTTTGAAATATGATTTTTATTGAGTGTTTTCTGAAGTTACAGGGAAAGTGGGGGGATATTTGCAAGGAGATAGGAAAGTAGGAAAAGACAGTTATAACAAGAAAAAGGAGATAAAAGGAAAAAAGGAAAAAGAGAATGCAAGAGAAAAAAAATCACACTATTTTTCTATTGATGCAACCTAGAATGGTATTGTCCCATGGAATAAAGCAATTTTGGTCGCACCGGAAATTCATACTAGGTCCCAACTGCAGTATGAAATTTCATTCATCACAGTGTTAGAGATGTAACAACTGCTGAAATATTTTCTTGTATGATCGCATTTAAATATCGCAGTGAAATATGTGGTTCATGATTACCTATTGGAATATAATGTGCTTTTCAAGGTGTGAATGTAAAATAGTATCATTTGCAACTTAGACATGTATCATATTGAAATGATTTTTTGTGGCTTCTCTGCCATTAACTAATGTCACTTTTGGAGCAGGCTGAAGTTGTATATGTGGTACGGTTTCTGAAGTAGAACACTGATTCAGACTATGAGGCTTTTTTTATAGCAATCACTGTGACTCAAGCAGTGGCAATAGCAATGATGGAAAGGATAGGTCCAGGAATTGCATTTCACTGCCCTTTGTATTCTGTCATTCCCCCCTCCCTACTTTTCTCTCGTTGGAAAGGCAGATAAGGTTAATGGTTGATGTATTCTCCTGAAGTATGTTTCTCATTCTGGAAATACTGCCCTTTAAAATATGGAATAATCTCACAATAGTCATAAATAATAGTTTACCAGAGACCTTCACAAAGGCTGCCCTTGCTCTTGCCTCTGGGTATATTTTCTTCAAAATGTTGGATGGGAACAAGCAAACACACCCTTTGGCTTTTTACAATAGTCAATGAACAAAAACATTTTCCTTCCTTTGGTTATAACTGAGACACATGGGTGATGAAGCAAAGGACATAAACAGTGCCAATGGTTCACAAAGAAAAGTAATATAAAATAAATTGATAAAACTGTCTAACCTTGTTTATAATATTTCTCATCACAAAAAGATTTTGCTTTAATAACTTATTGAACACTAGCTGTACCCGCCACGCGTTGCTGTGGCCAACCTTCCCTCCCTCTTTCTCTCCTTCCTTGCCTCTTACCTTCCTTTCCTCTTTTTTCTTTCCCTATCTCTCTTCTTTCTTCTATCTCTACCCCTTTCTTTGCTCTTTCGTTACATACTTCCTTCCTTCCCTATCTTTTGTTCCTTCTCTCCTCCCTTCCCTCTCTTTTTCCTTTCACTTTTTAAATTTCCTTCTCTCCTTCCTTGCTTCTCTATCTTTCTTTCTTTCCTTCTTTCCCTCCCTGCTTCTCTCCTTCCTTCCTTCCCTCTTTCCCTCCTTCTCTCATTACTTCTTGACTGTCCCTTCCATTTAATATTGTATTTATATCTTACATAGAAAGAAGGAAAGGAAGAAGGAAGGAAGGAGGGACACGAAAGAAGGAAAAAGCACCGTGGACCTTCCTCACCTCCTCCCCCTCCCCCTCCCCCTCCCCTTCTTCCTTGCTACGTTGCTGCTGCTGGCACTCATCCACCCTTTCCTCTTCCAACAGGGAAAGGAGGAGGAGACTGCCCTCCTGACATAGGAGGGAAAGAGAAGGGGCTGCATGCGGCAAGCCTGCACCTCCACTCCACTCGCTTGTGTGTGTGGCCATGCACGTGCGCCTGGCTTTAACGGCTGGCTGTTTCCCCGCAAGGAGGAAGAGGGGGGCGTGGCCATGGGTCTCTGTAGACATGCAGTTTCTCCTTTGTGGACATGCAGTTTAGAAGTCCTTTCTGCTTTTGGTTTTCCTTGGGTTTTTTTAGTAGAGAACATACATTGGGTTGTTAGGGACATAGTGTCCAAATTTGGTGTCAATTGCCCCAGTGGTTTCTGAGTTCTGTGAATAGCACAAATGAACATTACATTTTTATTTATATCGATTTCAAGTAAGAGAAAATAGTATCATCTTCCATCTTTTAGTGCCTCCCTCATCAAGAATCTCTTAACTGCCATTGTAGATTCACAATAGGAAAAAGTATGTGCTGTTTGAAATTCTACTTTGAATATGTCTATACGTCTGGCCTCTCTCAATATTATATGCGAGTCTTCAGTGGCATCAGAGATAAGTAGTTCCCATGCTGGTCTATGTGTTAAAGAGAAAGGGAGGCTGTTAAATTTTCATTTGCTGAATCCTAAATTCATCACACTATTTTTTCTTAATGTAAGAAGAAAGGAAACATTTTATCTTTATGCATTTTATTTTTCTCAGGATTCTGTTTGTGTCACATTGGTTCCACTTTTTAGATGTGCTTTGTGTTTCTACGAATATCTGGGAATATAGCATCTCCCATCATACATAACTCAGCCATTTAAAATTGAAATGTAGACACTTGAAGGGTGCTTGTTAAAGA